ATGTTACTGGGCAGAATTCTTCTTTACATACGTGTCGTGTTTGCTGCAGAATATTGTGTGTGGGTATTTTTCCATTTTTATTTTGATTGAGGCCCAATTCATCAACTCTTCTAAATGAGCTTGCATGAGAGAAGGCTTATCTGAGCACGTGGAACTTAAAATAAACCAGTTGCAGTTGTGTTGCTAAAAACCAAAATGACCTCAAAAACTAACCATCTGGTCCATTTATTAATTACAGAAGAAGAATCTTTTGTCACGTTTGACAGGAAACAATTAAAGTCATGTAATACTCTGAGAAGTAACATCTTAACCAGGTGGTTGGTTACTCTTGAGCAGGGGCAGTGATAAGCCTCAGGTGGAGCTAATTTTGTTAAATCAGGGGTGATTATGGCATTAGTGGAGTACTGGGTAATTCAGTTCTGCAGAAAATGGAAGGAGATTGAGACATGCACAATTAAGAGAAGTGCGAAAGGAGCCAAGAGGTGAGTGAGGAGACTTGCAGGTGTGTAGTGCTCCACAGTAGTTAATTTAGCAGACTCAAGAATCTTTCTGGGAAAGTACAAGGGGTAAAGCTAAGAGAGACAGGGAAAGCAACATAATATATGTTAAATGCATTTTTGAGTAGAGTTTTTACCTTCATCCCCACAAAAGTAAAAGCTAATAAAAGTTAACAGTGTAAATTTTGACCTAAAGTATTACTATTTGAGTTGATCTGGAAAGAAATCAAGCTTTATGATGAAAAATGGACTGGAAAACAAGCACCATTGTGATATTACTTTATTGCCCACCAGAGATAAGTTTTCAGTCTAAAGCAATGTGTTTTTTTCACTATAAACAAATATTCTAGTCAATGTAGGTTTTATCAAGCTCATAAAAATGCATCTAGTAATCATAAATGCATATAAAAATGCAGCAATGGCTAGAAGACACACATACATCAGTATAGCTGTTCCCTTGAAAAAGTATAGAGTCATTATTTAATGTTGATCTTTATAGTTTTTTCATGGCTCTTTTTTTTGTATGAACAGTCTTTTTCCTCAAAAGACTTTTTAAGGCTTCATGAGTAAAGCCAGTGGTAGAAAGTAAGAACGCATCATAAACTTGTAGAAGGTATTTCTGTGTACCACCAAATTGGAAGCAAAGAATATGTATAAGGCTTTTTCACTTATAGTTTGAAGAGAGCAGAGAGTTACAATCAGTTTATAGAGAGTATGTAATTTATATCAAAAGCTATGTTGACTGCTGTACTGCTGAAATTCAGATGTTTCTCAGCTCAGTATTCAGTTGCTCTCCTACGAATGAAATATCTTCTGAATTGTGAGTATTCAGGATTAACCAAACAAAACAAACCACAAGAAAAGAACAACAACTAGAAAAAAATCAAAAAATTCCCCACCGAAAACAAAACAGCAAAACGTCAGATCAGTATTTTAAACTTTCTAGTAAAGGCTATATTTGAAATCTTATGACAAACAACTTCAGCTTTCTTAAAATTTGAAGCATGTCAGTTTTAATTGTAGACATATCACTGGTTTTCATTGGTTTGATTTAGAGTATATTGCAAAACTACTTAAATATCAACAGAGCATTTGTTATCCAAGGCTATACACTCTCCAAGTACTGAGAATTCCCATAGGATTACCAATGGGAGGGGTTGGGTTACCAGAGAGTTCTTTAAGTATGGTAAAAATACTACAAAGAACAGACTTCAGGCTTCCCTGCAGAGTAGTGAAGGACACAGTTAACTTTAGGTTAGACAGAGCTTTGGAGGGTCTTTTCTCAGTGAAAGATTTTCTTGACAGGAAGTATTTACTATGAAGAAGAGGAAGTTCATGGAATTAACAACTTGGTTATCCTTAGCAATTTACAGTGTAGGTGAATTAGGATAAAATAATGAAAAGAAACTGAGCTCCTGTTGGTGGAGCAAGAGGGATCACATCTAAAGAACGTGTTGCTTCATTTAGTACAATTTATAGAAGATGAATTTAGTTGGTCGGCAGACAGTCTGTTCCGAAGCAAATACTTATTTTTGGGAGTTAATGCAGTGAATTTGACTGAAAAAAATCCTTGGGGGTACATTTAGTTCTTACTGTGAAGTGTGAACAATAGAACACTAAAGCTGTTCTCAGCTGAGAATCAAGCAGGTGGTGAGGCAGTGCAGTGATTATTTACTCTGTTGCTACTTTAAAATCTCACTTTTGCATTTCACTTTGCATTTGTGTTCTCACCTTGGAGTTAACTCTGAACCAGGATTCATTCCTGAACCACTGTCTTGCATTTGTGACTTTTAATGTGAATAATAATACCAACCTCTATTTGCTCTTGGAAAGTTGCCTGGCATAAATTCCTAGTGATTATATCCTTAGCTGGCTGCCTGTGCTTTGAGGAATGGTATTATGAATTGGGTCATCACCAAGGAATACCTGCAGCTGACCTGAAGAATTGGGAGGGGAAGCATAAGATCAAAACCAGTTTTTCCTCTCAGTATAAAAAAGTGTTTTGACTGTTGACTTCAAATAAAAGGGAATACTTGTGGACTAAGAGATCCTCCCCAAACTGAGTGTGCTTTGTCAGAGAAGAGCCATGCTTTTTTACCCTTCTAATCGTCACCTTGATCTGGTAACATACACCTCATTTGTTCCCAGATGCTGATAAGCTCCGTAGAGCCATTGGCACAGATTGGTTTAGAGTTCATTCTCATATTTTGAACAGAAGATTGGTTTAGAGTTCGTTCTCATATTTTGAAGAACTGCATGATCTCTGGAAGCCTCTTTCAACCTCATTTATTATTCTGTGACTGTGACAAGGACTGCATTGTACTGAAATGTTGGAGCCAGTGCAACTGGGAAACAGGATAAAAAGTTGTTCTAACCTGTCTCTGTATCTGCCTTGCTGATCAAGACAGAGACAAAAGAGTTACTGCTTACAATAGAACTCAGTCTTAAAACTGTTCTTAATGACAAACAGGAGCTGTGTATCCTGTCTGTCCATATGTTTGCAGTGGATCCTAAGGAATGAAAAGTAGTTTGTTTGGGAACTTTGCAATGAAATTTGAAAAACCTGAGGAACCTTATAATAAAGAGAAAAAAGGGCTACTGAGAGTTTATTTTGTCATGGTGGAATGGCTGTTATTGCCTTTTTTTTTTTTTTTTTACCCTTTGAATTGTTACTTCTTTAGACATAGAGAAGCTCTTTCAGAAATAGATCAATAATGTTTGCACTGAGCCTTGTCTCATGCTTCTTTTAGGGTGGTGTATTAATGAAGTGTGAATGAATGCAGTGTGACATTAGGGATACAGAAACAGCTCAGTGACCAGGGCAAAGGAACTAAAATATTCAAACCAATGTGAATTAGTTGTTGGGGACCAATAGTGAAAACCTCTGACCTTCAATCCAGAGAAAAATAACTGATTTTTTTTTTTTTTTTTGAGGGGAGAGAATAGCATCTTTTAGAGCTGTATTGTGATGACATCAAATCATCTATGGGTAGTTTAGGGTGAAGAGTGAGGAGGGGAAGCATAGAATCAAACTCATTTTTTTTTCAGATACTGCATTAAAAAACCAACCCATGGCAGTTTACTTCAAAAAAGAGAGAATACAGTGTCAATGCATTTATGAAAACTGGATTTCTTCAGTCTTAACCATTGTTTTGTGTGTAGTCAAGATAATGCATCCCACAGGTAGGGAACCAGTGAGTTCTGTTGGAACACCAGGGATAGGTGCATGGAGTATTTATATGTAGGCACAGGTGTCCATGGAAGGCCCTGCATTCTGACCCTCATCCCCTTCACAAAGTGTCTTACTCAGTCTCTTCTGACTTTGCAATAGGAGAAGTAATTAATTTGTCTATGCACACTAATGCCCTGTAATTACTTTATGTCAATTAAGTAAGAATAATAAAAGCCTTTGGCAATAGATCACTGTTGATCTAGTAGTAGTATCCTAAAATGTGGATAAATGAAGAACTGCTTCTATTTTGCAGCAGCTAAGCTGTAGAACTCATTGCACAAGTTTGGAATACTTCCCAAATAACAGTGCATGTCTATGTTGATCCCTGTATTCACACTTGCAGCACTGCAGAGGTCTATTTCTCAGACAGTTTTTGATCTACATTAATAAATAGGTAAATAGGTAATACAGGGAAGGCTGTGATGGTTAATGAGTGTGTAGTAGTTGATATAAAGGCTTGATATAACTCCAATAGGATGAGAAGATGTACTGGATCCCGTTATCCCAACTGCTCTTGTGCCTTTGCCAAACCAGTCTCTTAGAGCCTGTTGATGTTCAGTTGCAGTGGGTGAAGCAAGTGTTCTTTTTCCTTAATCTGTTTAAACTTGTGGAACTGTGGAGCATCATAGAAGAGGTTTTTACTCTAAAGGAAGCTGGATCTCCGTGGTGTATAGTAAAATAAAGCAGAAGACAGACTTGTTTTTTCACAGATTTCAAGTTTCCATGTACATTTTTCAGTGTCAGCTGCACTGATGTGACTATTTCAGTGGAAAACCATACCTCTAATTAAAGGAATGTGGATGATGTAGGATAGCTCAGGGCATAAATTACTCTGTGTTTTGTTGCAACAAATAAAGGCAAATGTTGTTTGAGCTTTAAGGTCTTAAAAGTAAGTTGGGAAAAGAAAAAGTTAAAAAGCTGGACATGATTCGAAGGGCTCTGAAAAATTAACAGGCAAGATCACAAGCAATCTTAGCTGAAGCCTTAGGTTCTTAATTTGAAATTTGCTCATTTTATCTAAACAACATGCTGCAGCTGTCACCTGCTGAGCCTCAGCTGGGATGAGGTCGTGAGATTTCATGTCACTGTCACCCCTTTCCACCACTCTTTTTTTCACCCCAGTGTTTCCTTGTTCAAATATGTTCTTTGAAAAATTGTTTTCCAAAAACAAAGGCTTTCTAGCAGAGATGATTTTTGTTTGAGGGTTTAGGGATGTGTGCTTGCTCAAAAGGCTCTTTGTTTATTTAAGTTTGTTTATTCTGTTTAAGGTTGCTAATCTTGCTTGTTCATTGTCAACAAATGAAGAAGGAACGAAAATTGTCCAAATGGCAACTAATCACATAGAGACCTTGTGCCCACAGGTATGGCTTTTTCAATTAATTTCCATTACAGCACACTGAGCATGTGTATTGTCACACCACAAAGATGTTTAGTCGTGCTCCTTGAGTCTAAATTCATGTTCCATTTATACAGTTTAGTGTAGCAAATGGAGATCAAATTGCAAATACTCAGTCCATTTGTTTTCTCTTTGTGCTTAATGTAGGAGTGATTAATAGTCTGCATTGACTGGGAGTTTTAAAAAGCTTTAAAAATCGGAATTTCAGAAATATGCTGTTCTGTTTCTGAAATCAAAAACCTGTTTGAATGAACGTTGTAATGTGATAGGCAGATTGGGAATGTTTTTACTCTTAGAAAGCAATACCTGTTTTGAACTTAAAATTGAAATGCACAAAGCCCAAATCAAGTGGTGATAGTATGAATCAGCAAAGGATGAATTCTTCTGATTACCACCAATTTAAAAGATTGAACCTTTGTCTTAAGGAAATGAATGAAAAAAGGCACAGCTATAGATACCTTTTTTCTAAGCTATTCGGTACCAAAAGTTTATTCACTCTTTATTTGCCATGTTCAGAATTATAGAGATATAAAAATATCTGCAGTTAGATCTGTGTAGAGCAAAGGTTTTAATGATATCTGTGTGTTGCCTTGAGGCAGCATAATTTCAAGATCATTAGTTCTTTGGAGCTAGTTTACATGGTGGTCTAAGTCTTCTTACCCTTTTGTGCTGAATGTGGTGGAAATAAAAGATGAAGAGCAAATATTATTAATATGTTCAATAGCAAGCTTGAGAAGTCAATTTTATCCTGTTGAATAAAAGAATGTCTTGGAGAAAAGAGGTTCTGTTGAGGAAGTGAGATGTTCTGAAGATACCACAGACCAGTGTTTTCTCATGAACCATTCAGGTTCAATGCCTGTTCTGACACTTGAACCCTTCTGTGTTTCACATGCCACTCTCATGTGATTTAATGTGTGACTGGATTTGTAAGAAGATTGTTGGCTTCTTCCAGCTTCTTTGTTTCTCCAGGGGTTCAGGTGCACCTTTGCAATGGATTACTATGCATCCACATTCAGCTTTTTAATTGAAATTGAAACCTACACTTTCAGTAACACATCTTGTTGAAGTTTGTGTGGCTTCTAGAGGGTCTCTCCCGGCCGCTCTGTGAAGGTTTCCAGGGCTGAAATCATCCCCTCCCCCCGCTGCCCGCCCCTCGTGGCAGGGGCAGGCAGCGGAGGCGCCTCTGCCAGGAGAGAGAGAACACGCAGCACGCAGGGAGGCCAGCAGCAAAGAGAGCTTTATTCAAAA